CCGTTGTTGGACAAACTTGCCCCCACTTCCGCACCGCCTCGGCCATATCTAGACCCACAGCTAGGTTCTGATTGGCCCTCTGGCATTGTGGCGTGGAATAACGTAGCGCAGACCACGCTTCAATATTGGGCATAAATCAAAAATATCTGTGACAGGCTCACTGAAACACACTGCTGCAGGAGGATAACCAGGCATTAAGACTCCATGGTAGGAAGGCTGGTCTCAGAAATTATAATAATTAATAATAATTTAACTTTATTAATCTCACACTGGAGAAATTCCCTCTCTGCACCTAACCCATCCCCTAGGGGAGCAGTGGGCTGCCATTGTACGGCGGCCAGGGAGCAGTGTGGGGTTAAGGGTCTTGCTCAGGGACCCAGAGTGGCAGTCTGTGAGAATCAAACCCGGTACTTGGAACCTTCTCAGAAAACATGTGCACTTCTCTAACCACTAAGCCACCACTCTCCAGCCAAATGTCCCAGTCTGCTCAACATGTAACTTAAACAATCAAAACTCTTCGGCATAAATGTGTCTTATTTGCCTACTTTGCTCCTTTATCTCTGAATCCTCCCACAGGGTTACGTAGCTGAACTGAATAATTCAGAGCTCAGCCACCTGATCCCCCCATCGCTGGAGAACAAGAAGGAGCAACTCTTTGGGAACCTGCCAGAAATATACGACTTTCACAACAAGTAGGTCATATTTTCTGATGCCTGCATAGTTGGCAGCTGGCCAACAGAGGGCACTAGGACGCCGCCCCACCCAACCGATGACCATGATGTAGACCTTAAAAAAACAAATAAAATTTTAATTATAAAATAAAAGTTATTTGGAATAAATTAATATCTTTTTTAGGTGTGCAAGATAAATATTTAATCTTTAATAAGAAGTAAAGCTGTTTTGTTTGACGTTGGATTGGTGACGTATTTCCTCCCTGGGGCACAAAAATGTTTGGCCATAGACTCTCTTTAAAAGTTGTCCAGTGCAGCAGCTCCTGTTCAACGCTAAAGATAGGAGCATCCTGGGGAGCAGCTCTCCTGCACCCAGAGCTGACAGGGACTGTCATCACAGTCGTAGTGCGGCTGACTGACCGGATGAGTTTCAGAAGTTGGAGATGATTGGCCGATAATGTTCCTTCAAGTACAGAGGAAAAACGAAACTACCGTAACAAAAAAATGTTAGGAAATCACCTGAAGCATGAGATTATCCAATTTGTTAAGTCAGGCAAAACAACCAGCAGGGAGAACAACACTGATGGAAACAGAGGAGAAAACAGAACATTGTAATTCTTTAGGTTAAAGGAATTTCCAAGAAAATCAGACAGATTTTCTCTGAACACAACATATGGATGAATTTCAAACCCAACAATGCAGTCAGAAAGAAACTGGCTCATCCTAAAGACAGAACAAACAGAGGCCTCAGTGCTGCACCACATTTAATATCATCCTGCATTATCAGCCTCATGTCAATTATGACATTGGACAGATGTATATTTGCTAAATGCTTTTGAAATGCCACTGAAAGCATAAAGAAATATGCACAGCAGAGTAGCACAGAGGCACAAAAAACCCCAACAAGAGTCCACTTCCAATGAGTAGGTCTCATTGAGACTTTTAAATGAACCTCCTAACTCTCTATAAAACATCTATCCCGCCTCATTATCTTGTTAACAGCAATGAGAATATTTCACCAGGAAGATCCGACCAATTAGAGCAACCACAATAGCAAGAATAATCAGGTAGCATGAGTCCATATTTAGTTTGACTGTGTTATTGGCAGGACATTCCTTATGGAGCTGGAGAACTGTGCAGAAAACCCAGAGCTGGTTGGAACCTGTTTTTTGAAGAGGGTGAGTAAGAAATCCATTTCTACCAGAGATATGTCCTGTATGGGAGATGTGCTCCAGAATCAGTGACAGCATTCACTGGCATCTAATGAGAGAATTGGAAATGTTCAAACTGAAAGACTAACCCTGTCAGTTTAGCCCCGCCCCCGATGCAAACACCCTGACAGCTTGTAGTGAAACTGTAGCTGCAAGAATTCTGCCGTGACACTGAAATCATCTCTCATTGAAAAAATGCTGCAGCTGAGGGTGACGCTATCATCACCAGTTTTCCCTTTTTTAGGGAGAATTTCTGTTTGAAGTATCATTGCCAAATCCCACATTTGAATAAGCTGTCAGTGATTTAGCTCGATATGAATCAAGCACCTCCTCTCCTTCCTACAAATAGCACTACTTACAAGTACTACAGTATATTCCTTTTTCAAGGTCGATGAAAACAACTTTTTTTTCACCAGATAACAGAGCACAATCAAGGGCTGAAATTGTTTCTCAAAAGGGAGGGATGTGGCTCAAAAGTTGTTGTTTTTGTGGTGCATAGGTACACTTGCCTTTTTTTGTTTCTTTTTGTTGCCGTGACTTGTTTGCTGGTTTTCTCTAAACTCTCCCACATATCACTCTGTTTTCCCTGCCAACTCTTTCCCCCTCATTTAGGGGCGACCTGTCAACACAAGATTCAGCTAAGAACAAAATGCAGTATGAAATATTAATGCATGTACAATTATTTATTCCAAATATTAAGAAATAATCGGATTATCATTATACCTTCCAAATTGACATTTGCTGAGGCTCAGAATGAAACACACTCAATATAAAAAGCATTGAATATCTTATTTAGATAAAGTGCAGCATGTGCTGCAATAGTCATTAAAAAAAGGTGGAGGCGGCGCTGCTGCATCTGTTTGGTGGGTTTTAGCGTTTTAGGTAAAGTGGACCAAAAATAAGGTGAAATTAAGGATCATATTTAATTCAGGTTAGTTGGACTCTGGTCCTAAAACATGCTGCATCATTGAAGTGTTTATTCAACCATGTCTGTTTCCAGAAAGAAGAACTGCAGGTGTATGAGAAGTACTGTCAGAATAAACCGCGCTCTGAGGTTGTGTGGCGACAGTGTGGAGACAGTCCCTTCTTCCAGGTAAGTTATGCAGACATACATGCAAACATTAGAGAACTAGCTGGCCTCAGTATTCGATGGTCATTTACTGATAAACAGCCTTTGATCTTTGGGACAACAGGAATGCCAGAAGAAACTAGACCACAAGCTTTCCCTGGATGCCTACCTGCTGAAACCCGTTCAAAGGATCACCAAATATCAGCTTCTGCTTAAGGTTTACGCAGACACTCACAGTATGGCTGGCAACTGCAAGAACACTGCAGAAAAATAAATGATTTCTCTATTTTCTACATGGAATAATAAAATCACCATTTAGTGTCTAACTGAAAGGAAACAAGGAGCTGGCATCAGGAAATACCATGATGGTCACTGGTTTACCTCCCAAAGAGCGCTGATGGATGCTGCTGTAGAGGCTAAAGTTAAAGCCAAGCTTAATATTCGTCAGCTTGTATCGCCTAGAAAGAGCATTTTTACTGTGCCTCATAGCCAATGTGACCCGAGGCATGATGGGTGGGAATATGATCAGGATGAGGTTTGGTTTAGTTTTTAATATGGAGATTTACACAAATGTAATTTATAGTGTTTGCATTAAAAGTTTTGCAGAGTGGCTTTAAAAATGTTTCCAAAAATATCTGGGGAGAAACTGCAGGTCTGACCTCCTTAATATTTCTATGATTCTGAGAAAAGAATCACAGTAAAAATCCCAAAGGATTTGAAGTGAAAGTGATTAAAACTTCAAACTCAAACTGAATGAAATAATTAAAACAGCAGATGTGCAAAACAATATAATTTTGCTCTCTTTCTTCCTCTATAACAGGAAATGTTAAAATGCAGTAAAGATGAAGGGATAGCTGAGCTGGAGGAAGCGTTAGCTACCATGCTAGAGATCATCAAGTCTGTCAATGACTCCATGCACCAGATCGCCATCACTGGGTTTGAGGTAAGAAACAAACTATTAATGATGGATGGATGGATGGA